TGCCCAGCCATACGGGCAAGGCCCGCTCTGGGCCCAGAGACACTGCTGAGACCTTGCCGGAGCGCGGGAGCCATGGGTCTGTAACATGAGCACCATACTGTGTCAGCACGGCTCTGGGGGTGCCCACACGTGTGTGCCCTGCGTGTGCGGGCATGGGCAAGCCTGTGCCCACCGGGGGGCATATGTTTGTACTGCCACAGTGTGTGCGCACACAGGTCTGTGTGCGTGTTTGTGTATATGTGTACCCCTGTGTGGGCACAGGTGTGTGTGTGTGCGCGCACACGCGCACATAGATATTTGTGTGCACCCTGCGAGGGCACGGTTGTGTGTGTTCATGCACATGGATATATGTATGTGGGCACAGCAGTGGGTGTGCATTCACAGGATGTGTGTGCATGGGCACGGCGGTGGGTGTCCATTCACTGGACGTGTGTATGTGTGCATGATGTGGGCACGGCGGTGGGTGTGCATTCACGGGATGTATGCACGGCATGGGCATGGCAGTGGGTGTGCATTCATGGGATGTGTGTACGTGGGCACGGCGGTGGGTGTGCATTCACTGGACGTGTGTATGTGTGCATGATGTGGGCACGGCGGTGGGTGTGCATTCATGGGATGTATGCACGGCGTGGACACGACAGTGGGTGTGCATTCACGGGATGTGTGTACGTGGGCACGGCGGTGGGTGTGCATTCACGGGATGTGTGTGTGTGTGTGCACGGCAGTGGGTGTGCATTCATGGGAGGTGGGCACGGCGTGGGCACGGCGGTGGGTGCGCACACACGTGCATGGCCGTGTGCTCACGTACAGCCCCTGGGCATTAGGGTGCAGGCGGAAGGAAGGACTCATGCCTGCTCCTCCCTGTGCAGCCTGGCTCTGACTCCTGGCTGTGTCTACGGGATGTGTGTGTGTGTGTGCACGGCAGTGGGTGTGCATTCATGGGAGGTGGGCACGGCGTGGGCACGGCGGTGGGTGCGCACACACGTGCATGGCCGTGTGCTCACGTACAGCCCCTGGGCATTAGGGTGCAGGCGGAAGGAAGGACTCATGCCTGCTCCTCCCTGTGCAGCCTGGCTCTGACTCCTGGCTGTGTCTGGCTCCCCGCC